TGTGTGTGTGTGTGTGTGTGTGTGTGTGTGTGTGTGTGTGTGTGTGTTTGTGTGTGTGTGTGTCTGGTAAAAGAAACATTTTTTTATTGCATTTGATCAAAAAACTGTTACTTTGCCTTGTAGAAGTGTTTTTTGATACCAATGAAAAGGTTTGATTTAGCAAACTGACACAAAAAAATAAGTAATTGTTAATTTGTCTAAACTGACCAATTTTGGCAAGATTAACAGCAATGTGTAAATTTCATTCTTCACATTTTACAATAATGTTTATCCTTAAACTCAGACAAGTGAGAAAACAACACAGAGATGGGAAAGAAAAACAGAAAGAAAGAAAAACAGAAAGGAAGACAGACAGAAAGAAAGGAAGACAGAAAGAAAGACAGCACAGAGAAGTGAAAACAAAGGGCTGAAGTCAGTAATGTCCCTTGTGATCTCAAGGCAGCCTCTGACCAGTGTGGACAACAGCACGGCCATGCTTCTGGAGTGGCACAAAGGAGTTCAACACTTTTACCACTCGGTGGAGTGGAGGCCCATGGAGCAACTGAGGTGAATCATCGGAGGCAGCAACTTCATTTATAATCCACCATCCTGATACTGTTTAATCGTAGATTTGATAGAGTGGCAGTAAACCTAAAATGTCCATATAATTATTCTGTCCATCTTTCTTTCAGCTCTTATGCAGACGAGCTGCTCTTATGCAGAATTGGGCCATTGTCCCAGACAATGGCCCAATTCTCGGTTCACCCACTTGATGACAACTTTGGCCTGACGACATACTGGTGAGACAGAAAAATACCATGAGGCACAGAGAATTAAGTGTCCTATGTCCTATTGTTCAGAGGAATGATCCATTATCACAGTATCTGGTTAATCACTATCACCACTCTGTCATCTATTCATGTTTCTTCTCTGTCCCTCAGTTTGTGGACAGTGGAAACCTGCAAAAAAAATCAAAAAGCCTTTATTTCAACTTCTGAGACGTGATCCGTCTGCTCTGCTGCGGGGGCTCAGATGTGTGTGTGCAACAAGGACCACTATCGATATTTACCAGTGCCCCTCAAACAAGACCAGCCACTGGAAGAAGAAGAGGGAAGTTTACCCAAACAGTGACAGAGGCACTCAGTAAGCACTTCCTCTAAATGTGCATATCATGTAGTTGACTATAAAATTGACAATTCGTAGTAACAGGAGGAATTTTGAGGCTCTTTTTCTTCAGTCTTTGCTCACTTTTTTTCTTGTTCCTATATGAGCATTTGCTCCTTTTGGCTCTCACAGTCCTGACACATGCCTCACTCCTCTGTTAAAGCTCACTGCCTCTCATTTCCTCTTCTTCCCCTCTTATTTGACTGTTTCACATCAGTTAGATGTTGAGCTGATCTAACAAATCCCCTTGAAACCAAAAGACAAATTTGCTAAACCTCATGTGAAATGAGTTGCCTAAACCCTGGAGTCTTCACAGTATAACGTATGCTCACTATATGCCTAAAGAACCAGGAAAGGTGGGATTTAATGAGGTACAAATACAAGTGTTATAGCTGAAGAGATATCTTCCAGTTATTGCAAGTTATCAAAAATAGTGATATTACTTTGAAATAAGTTTTTTATATCATATTAATGGATTATATTAACACTGAAGTGTCTGTGTTGTAATTGAGGTGAATCTAACTTTAACCAGCACACAAAGCAACTGTAACTCAAGGCCCACTTACTTGCTTGCTCTGTAGCTTTTTGACCATATTAAATGGTCCTCATCTGCAGACTATAGGCCACGTTTTATATCAACTTGAATGATGAGTGCACAGAAATGTGGAACGTCCATGGCATTTCCACTCAATCTGCTGAGGAGGACCTGGTGGTATGGTTGAAAGCTCCAGAAGCAAGTGAGTTGACAGTAAGTTAAGATGGTTTTGCTGACTGCTGCTTCCACATGTGGTCAAGCTCTGATTTTGTTTACTTTATATGCTATTGGGTAGTATATGTCACATTTTATATATTCATCTTATGTTTTACAGTGAGTGAGTAAACGTATATAGCCTAAAATGGATCTAGTAGTACCTCAAAATTGTCTTTTTAGCACAGTATTTTACCACTCATATAATGCTCTCTCTTTGATAAAATAACTGCTCTTGTATACTGGGATATACAGATTTAATAGTAGCCTGAATTAGAAAACACACAAAAAGAATATTAAAAGTACCTTTAATGCTGACATTTGAATGGGTGTATTTAGGATTATTGTTGTAGAAATTGACAGTCAAAATGAACATTTTAAAGGTCTTATAGCTGACTGTGATTCTGAGGAAATGTGTTTCTTTGGGTTGTCCACAGAGCCTTGAACTCCTCCAGGCTGCAGGCCATGGGTATCGCCATGCTGCCCGGGTACAGAGACCCATATTCAGACCGCGTGCCGACTAGAGGGGAGATCGGCTGCTTCCTCAGCCACTACAACATCTGGAAACAGGTAGCTCTGTATAGATGTGTCAAGCAAGACTCAGCTACGTGCAGTGCAGCTGGTGTGGCAGTTTGATGAAGAGCGACAGTATGAAGATGTTTAGGTCCTTCAGAGTTGACCGCTGTTACGTGTCTCCCCCTAGGTGGTGCAGCAGGAACTGCTGCAAGTGATTGTGCTGGAGGATGATGTGAGACTTGAGCCCAGGTTTTGCAGCATGCTGGTGACTATCATGGGAAATGTACAGAGGGTGGGCCTTGAATGGGACCCCATGTTAGTGACTTTGTGCAGTTTTATACATATTTTCCATCGCTTGTACCTTGCATACTCATATTCAAAGCACCACAGACCTGTCACTTACGTTTCTGTGCTCATAAAGTTATGTAGGCCGTGAGCGGCTGCAGGTGAAGAAGCCGGAGCACTGGGTGAAGGGAGTCAGTAACCTCGTGTACCCAGGTTACTCCTACTGGACCTTGGGTTACGTCCTGTCACTGAACGGGGGCCCAGAAGCTCCTGCAAGCGAAACCCCCTGAACAAAATGCTGCCTGTTGATGAGTTCCTATACCTCTACGTCAGAGACACAGACACCTCCACCATCGACGACGAGGCCGTGGAAACAGACTGGAAGAGAGACGGTGAAACTGAGAAAGAAGAGTCTATACCTGTGGCTCCTCTCTCTGTCAGTGGAAACAGACTGGAAGAGAGACGGTGAAACTGAGAAAGAAGAGTCTATACCTGTGGCTCCTCTCTCTGTCAGTGGAAACAGAGATGAACTCTGAGGGGACTTATGTCATATTACCCAGCATGGCCAGTTTAACATCCTCAGGGGGGCCCAGGGGCACAAATTAGCAACTGGGCCCCTAAACGCTCCTCCTCCGAGGAGGAGGAGCGTTGCCATGTGAGCAGTCTCTATGCCATGTGAGCAGTTGTTCTAAGATGGAGCAGATTTTACGTGTATAAAAGTGAAATGACGGTATAAAAACTACCTATTAGTAAAAGAAGACTTTCTCCAAGCCCTACACTAATCATCTCGGTTGATATTGGGCTCTGGTGGTTTATTATGTGGTGGCATATTTCAACCAATCTTCATTCAAATTGGTTTGGAGCTTTTGGGGCCCCTAGAGCTGTGCGGCCCCAGAGCAGCTGCTTCCACACATCAAGAACACGTCGAGATCAAGACTGGCACATTATAGTGCATCCTTCCAAAAGTAAAATGTCTTCAGGGTGAATAGATTCCATGTAATAACTATTCAATATCAAACTCAGTTTAAAAGATACAAGCCCATAAATACACCTGTTTCTTAACTGCATTTTTGTATCTACAGTTTCTAGTTAAGAAAGTTTCTCATTTTAACTTTTCCACATGACGTTTTTCATGTTATTATGACATTCTCTTGCTGACATACTAACAAGATGGAAGTTGTCATAAAACACATCCCCATTATCATGTTATAATGAGAAATGTTTTATGTTTTAATGAGTCCACAGTATGAATACAAACTTTGGACTTGGATAAAATAGTACAACCCTGCTGCCACTAATATTGCCTTACATGCATTACTGGGACAAGATGTCACGTCTTTCAACGATGGTGACACGTTTCCTTTATTTAGGAAATATGACCTTTCACTCATCAAATAAACTCATTTCTGTTTAGACCTTATCTAGGCTGATAATTATTGGTAACTGCCTGTAAGTGCAACTTCAATGAGCCGAAGAAAAAGACAAAAATCAACTTAAATGTTTTACTTTTAATTCCTTAAAAAAAGCACAGGTATTTTCATGTCAAGCAAACAATGGAACCATTGTATATTAGTACTGTTCCATATCACAAAATGAGTAATGAAAAGAATATTTAAACCACACTTTCTTGGAATAAATTAATCAGCACAACAAAAGAAGAAGAACATGCTTGTACTTAGGTGTTGCACAGGAGATATTGAAACTCCAATGCTCAAAATGTAAGACACCTGAGAATATAAATATCAAAACGACTTGCTGCAGCAGTTATTTAGTTCCACAGTTCCTCCTCTTTACCTTAACTAAAGCGTTGACAAGTTTTCCAAAATTACATTAATGTAAAAATTAGGCATCAATTTAAAAAACTTTTTGTACAATGTGCATATCTGAATTAGTGTGGTGACGAGCGAAATCATCGCATCTTCTTTCTCAGCAAGGCAGCAAATAATCAAATCCAAAGTGGACAACGCTCGTCTGCCATCAAGCCACATTCAGTGATATGAACAGAAGGATTTGGACTGAGCTCTTTCAATTGAAATCTGCAGTGAAGTGACAGTTTACAGATATTTGTTCTTTACATTTTTAATAACCCTTTTAAGCCTCTGCCCGAGGCAGCACAGAGCCTCTCCCTCCACAACAAAGACTCCTGCTGGGCTTTAATGACAGGGGCTTGATTTATCCCAGAGATTCATTTGCTGACTATTAACAACAGAAGTTCATTGAGGCAGGAAGAATGAAATTCTGCTGCTATACAGGTAGTAATGATGTTGCATATAAAGACAAGATAAGGGCAAGGGTACATAGCAGACCATCTAGCTGATTAAAAACTCATTTCTGAAATCCAAAGTTCGATGGCTATTGAGGACTTTCTGAAAGACAGTTTGGATGGATTTTGTAAAGAAAAAATAATCAGTGAGGTATGTTGTTATTGTGATATTATAGCTTTGAGACACAGACAGAGTCTGTGTGTGAAGACACTCATCTGTGAGAGGAGAGGAGAGCAAATATTTCCATTTGAAGACGTAAAAAAAAAACACATTGTGTGTGTTCCTTAGTTATTAAACAGTCCATGTGTTCGCGGTTACTGCCAGCAGCAACCAAGAACAGTCAACGGATCAAACTTCTGAAGAAGAAATGTGTACAAAATTTCAAAGCATCACATTCACTCCAATGAGCACAACTCCCATGAAAATGAGATCAACAGCGAAGTGGTGACGGTGGTTTGACACATGGGTGAGGAAGACGTCTGAAGTCTGAATGTGGAGGAGACAAAGCTGAAAGATCTATATAGAAAATAAAAAATAAAAATACATATTCCATAACGAGAGATGGTCTGGATGACTACGCCACACACACACGCACACACAAAAAACACGAACCAAAAAAAACTACCACCAACTTATTGTATCACGTTTTCTAAAGCACTTGGACAAAAAAGGCGTTTTTACAAACCATCGGTTAGCAACACATTAGTTCCACAGTGCAAGCCATCACACTTTTCAGCCAAACACCTGTGAGAAAAAGTGCCATATTGCATAATGAGCATCTGTGATGAGCCCACATGAGGGCATGTATACCTGTACAAGCATCCAACTGTAAACATGGTGCGAAGTAGTTATGACATAGTTTAAGGCTTTAAGTGTTGTTCACTGAGATAATGGAATATGTCCATGCGCTGGACAAACAGTGTGGAAACATAGAAAACAAATTTAAAAAAGATTCTCTCTATAATCAGACCTGCCAGGTCATTGAATAGATTTTAAATCTCTAAATTACTTGAGGTTTGCTGATGAATGTTGTTTTTCCTGAAATACATGGCTGATTATTGACTTGTGTATGGTATGCAGGAATATTTAGGTGTCAGTTTTCCTAGAATGGACTGAACAGGTTCTTCACACATCTTCATCTGTTTCTCCAACATGTCATTGGGTATTTTGACATGTCAAACACAGGTGTAACCAATAATAACACTGTATCCTGTTCACACGTGCCTGCTGGTTCAATGACACGCCTTCATAGAATAGTCATCATTAACTTATTATTTATATTAGTTGCACCTGTGCTTTTGCGGCTTTGACAAGTCAAAATGTGCGCCTCACCAAATGGGAGCATAGTAGTAGTTTTTGAGCGTTTTTGTTTGTTTGTTTTCCCAACGCCATGTGTTAGACTTCAAGTTATTTTGCTGCTTAAACTCAAACCATACAGAAACACCTGGTACATCTGGCTTCACACCCCTGATGAGCGGGATGAAGACTTTTACTTTGAAGGCAGCAGGCTGAAAGTCAAGCTCAAATGGTGTCATCTTTTTTTTTCCCCAAAAAATATTTTTGACATCATAGCATACACACTTTTCCCAGTTCTGTCGCTAACAAAAATGTAAATAAAAATACACACACCGACGCTCACAGGCAATGCCATCCTATCAAGAGTATACCATTACCCCTAATATAAGGACTACAATTCATCACACGTATTAATTCTGCTGCAAGTAGCATTACCATTTATCTACATTAAAAGCTTAAAGCTTATATACATTTGCATCAGTATTAGACACAATACTACTGTGTATTATGTGCCAGCATTTCACGAGTGATAACTGATCTTAAGGATGGCGTGCAAACAGCTCCGATACAATTTGATCTGCTTTCTGGCAAAATCAACATTTGATCATTAGTTAAACTGGATGTAAAGAAAAAATTACAAAATTGACTCAATGATGGTTACCAAAGCAATAAAAAAAATGAAGGAATATGTCACGACTAAAACTTTTATATGGAATGAGCAAAGCTAAAAACAAATACATCTAAAAGGCTTCTAGTCACCGCCTCGCTACCTAACATCACAAGGTTGTGTTACTCGTGGTAAATAAATGGTGCTGAAGAGCACAACAATCTACAAATTAACCACAAGAAAACAAGAGGTTTGGCTTCTGATGAATGCAAAGACTTTTACAGAAAGTGTGAAAAATCCCTGCAAGTTGTGTGAGTTATTGTTAGGGTTGGGTTTATCGATTTAAATCTGCTTAATGATTCCTTTTCTAATCGAATCCTGAGTAAGAAAAGAGAACAAAGTATGTCGAAAGTAAAAAAAACATTTATTTTCATAAGGTTTAGGCTGCCATATACAAGTAATAGATGACAACGTATTTAGCGATTTGTTTTTGGTTAAAAACAGAAAAATATATAAATAATCTCTGTTGGGCCAAGTTGAATGGTTTTACATTTGATTTTGCTCTCTTAGGCATTCATATTGTTGTTTTAGGCAACGTGAGGCAAACAATGAGCATGACTGCTTTATGGTATAATTAGTTTTACAATTTTGCATCAATGTGATGTAAGTACCTTGATTTGCCCTGTATTAAATTGAGTGGATTAAAAACAAAAAAATGAACATTCTCATCTGGTCATGTGATCTATAAAAATGTTTCATTTGATTTAATTGTCATGATACAGGACATCTAAAATGTTTAATTCTTAAACCATTCTGTAGTAAATGTGTCGTCATATTAGGCACTTTGAGCCTTGCATGTATGTATTTTCATGCAGCGATTACATTTCAGTGCCTCACTGCGGTCTTGTCTGAAGCGCACTTTTAAAAGCGAGCTCCAGTCCGTCATATTGTAAACATTATACACGTACTTTGATACACGCGTAACCGGCAATGCAAATTAAGTGCATAGGTCCAAACTTAGTTTTCAGGAAACGATATGTGGAATCGAAAAGCACATTTCTTAACGAATCCCCACCTCTTATGAATTTGGAGCATTCTAGATACCCAACCCTAGTTATGTTGATCCGGTGGATAGTGGTCACATGACTCGTCTATGTTGATGGAGGGGTGAAGCTGCTTCAACCTCGCATCCAGCTCTGTGTCTGTGTGTGTGTTGTGTACGTGTGTGTTATGTGCATTTTTTGAGTCCAACACAGCAATGCTAAACCCTAATCAGTGGATCTGATTGTAGCTGGTTAACTTGAAACCACTGTGATCTTCTGTGCTCCTGCTAGGAGCACAGAACCCAAACCATTCTAATGGTGCATGACTGGGCTGGGAGAGGAGGAGGCGCCCTTGTTGCGGCCCAACATGGAGGGCTGGAAGTCAGGATGGCGACGGGCGTGCTTAATCAGGTGGTCGCTGCGCATGAAGCGCTTGTCGCATAGTGGGCACAGAAAGCGTTTTTCCCCCGTGTGGGTGCGGGTGTGGCGGGCGAGCTCGTCGGAGCGGGCAAACTTCTTTTCGCAGTCAGGCCAGGTGCACGGGAAAGGCCTCTCACCTGCAGCGCAGAGGCAGAGAAGAGAACCATTTACCACCATGTACTTTATCACACCGTTGACTTTGCAAAACAAGCACGCATTACATTTTTTTGACATTTTTGATGACTAAAATATGTTGCTGACACATGGGATGGGAGACAGTCACTTATTCCCATTCTGCACAACTATTAAGAACTAACAAATGTTGCACCAATGCAGTACATCGGTGAACTAGCAGCCGGTATGTATGACTTCCATTATCGATAATCTGCAGAATACTAGAGACATTGATTAATCATTGGGTCTTTAAAATGCCTAAAGCACAAAGTGATGTCTTCAAATAGCTGATTTTACATTCAGTTCAAACCCTCAAATTATGTGATTTACTATCACAGAACACAAAGAAAAGCAACAGATTCTCACAATTAATACTAAAATTAGGGAAATATTGCAAATAATTGTAATTAAATAATTGTAATAACCAATTATCAAACTATGATTTGATTCATTTTCATTTAATTTTTGATTAATTTATCGATTGTGCATTTATTTAGGTTTGTTTACTATGTTTTAATTGAACAAATGTCCTCCTGGATAAAATAATAGTAAGAAATGTCGTGTGATTACATCCCTGGAGCAAACATTGAATAGCAATTAGGGTCACAAATCTACTGCCTGCATTACTTCTATGAAATATAGTGTGTAGACAAATACTCTCTACATTGTTAAATACGTGACAAAACATATCTGGGTTTTGGATTCTCCAGATTAGTCTTGCTAAGCCACTACTAGCCTTAATCTCCTGCAGGCAACACGAGCAAAACCGGGATAAGCGAGTAGGATGCTCGGTGCCATTTTCAAGATCACAAAGCCAGACCACGTTGTTGTTGCAGAGTTCTTTGTGGGCGTTCCCATCACCGTTTCTTTGAGCAGTTTCCTGTCGTTAATCCGTTTGCGCCTGCTCACTGACCCTGAACACACAGATTTATTTTAGCGAACATTCACGTGCACGTTTCAGCTCCGTTTTCATTCTGACAGGTGGATCTACTCCCAACCACATCTGGCTCTTACATCGTGGCAATGCACGGTGGAAGAGGTGAGGTGCAGCTACACATTCGGTGATTTTCCTCAGCTAAACACACAAAAAAGAAATGAAAACGTGTTCGGAGCATCGGGGTAACGCATCCATTATCGGACGCACCCTCCGCAGCTCTCCCTCCAACGTTTTATCAATAATTTACACATCGCAGAGAATAAAATCGATTTAAACTCGTTAGCAGACGCCAACAAGGAGTTGATGCCCAGAGGAGGAAACAAAACTTCAGTCAAAACATCAAGCACTTGCTGCTTCTGCTGCCGTCAACAGGACCAACTTTGCCCGACAATAAACTCTCTGCTCTCGACGTTAAGGTTTCGTCTTACGTTCATTTCATATGCAAATGCGGCGGGAGGAAGACCATCGTCACCGATTTTAACGTCCAGCCCAGTTCTTTTGTTAGTTTACTTCTTTGTCAGTCTCTCTGAGGGGAGAGTTTTTCTGTCTTTCCCTCTTTGTTTGGCCACGTTATTGGACCAAGCGGGGGGTAAATGGGGAAGCATTTTCCACCACCACACCACTATTAGACAATTCTAAAAAAAAACACACAAAGAAGAGCACAACACTTCCCATATTCCCCATGATTAGTCCCGTAATAACAATACGGGTTTGCATGTCACCGACACAGCAGAAGTCGGGGACCATGTTTATATATTTGGGGGTTAGCTAAGCAGCTACACAACATGTGAACCGCTGATGCAACCAAACTGTTATTGTGTCTCCGTACCTGTGTGTGTCCGGATGTGTGCCTTCAGGTGGGACGATTTCCCGTAAACTCTGTCGCATCCGTCAAAAATGCACTGGTGTCGCTTCACCGGGGACCGCGGGGCCCCCACGCCTCCTCCCCCCCTAAGCTGTCCGGGGACAGGGGTAGCAGAGGGGGTCATGGTAGGGGTGGTGGGGTCGGACAACGTGGTGTAACCGCTCTCTCCACCACACGAGGAGTTGCTGCTCTCCGAGTAGGCCGACATGGGGCGGAACTTGCCGTGTAGGTCGGTGAGGATACCGGCCACCGCCATCATGTTGGCCCCCTCCAGCCTCAGCGCCTCCCGCACTTCCCTGTCCTCGCACGACACCTCGGGCTCCCCGGGGAGCAGGCCCACGGTGGTCGGCAGACCGGCGGGGACGACCGGGATGGGTCTGTGCAGGACGGGACCGCTGGATATCGACACGAGACACTCGGCAGCAAAATAATCAGACGAAGCAGTCAACGACATTGTTATCTGCTTTGTTTGGGTGGAGTTATCTTTAAAAAAAGAAACTAAAAAGATTCCGCCAGGAGGGGCTAACGGTAGTCTGAGCCTGACCTCGTTTTCATCAAACTCGACGAACCAACCGTTTCCAGCTGAGCCTCGTTACAGCCATACAGCGTATCGGTAGTTTATAAAAAAAACTAAAGTTTATCAAAAAAAAGATACAAATTACAATAATAATGTGCTAAAACCGTGCCAATGCCTCCGGGCCAACACGCGTGTCCCTCACCGTCTGACGGTTCATTGTGTCTGAGCCGCGGAGAAGCCGGTCAAACCTACGCCCCCTGGTCCGGACTGAAGATGCGTTCAAACCTGTCAGATAAAATAGGATGGAGGATTTAATGAGATTAAATTTATATAAATGCCGCACTGGTACGGCTATTTTATTCTTCACTACACTTGCTCCAATATCGATTTGATTTATACATTTACGTCACTGTCATATAGCAAATCACAAATCCCAACATTAAACTCAAACGGTGAATGTAACATCTAGTTGTGTTCTGGTTGCGTAATTTTATATATTACCTCTAAAATACGTGTGTAATTGTTTTAGTTTTAGCACAATACATACTATTTGGCATACTTACTGTAACTAATTGTCCTACTATTTCATGACCTACACGTTGGGGGTGAAAGCACGTTAACAGTATTTTAAGCGAAAGGCCTAAATTTCCATTTTTTTCTAGGTTTTGAACGCAGCGTCAAGCAGCAGCACGCAGAGACTGACGTCGCAGCTCGGGCGTGGACCACGGCGGTGGGTGCATCCTGGAAAGTAGGTGGCAGGCAGCTTGGGTAATGATGGGGGAAGGAGATGGGGTTTGAAGGGGAGGCGTGATGGGTTATTTAGTTTGAGCCCAACTACGTGGCTGAGCGACGCATGGCTTTTATAATTCATATTTCTGGCAAATACAGTTATATGAAGAGCCTTTATAGTCCCTAACTATCTACTTTAAAACGTTTTTTATTACAAGACACAGACACGCTCGTAGCCTACCTCTCTCCACTAGTTTGCTTTGTCTTCAGAGAAGTTGGTTGTGTGGTTTATTGATATAGACTGTATGTGTATAGGAGTGTGTATCTGAAAATAATCTCCAAGCAAATCTATTCTATTGTTAAAGATGTACAACAGAAAAAAAACTTTTTGTTTTGTTTTGTAGTGCTATTCTATTGTTCTGCATAAGATGTTGTTATTTTGTCCTAGTCTATCCCTGCAGATAACTATGTCATTATGCTGCCGGCCTGCCAGCGTTCAAACTGTTTAACTTCCCTGCAATAAACTGCATTTTCTCTTTGTGGCTCATGTCGTATGTATGTCCAGGTTAATGGGAGGAATAACAAAACTTTTTTTTGTGAGGCCCAGTACTGTGTCGAGTGATTGGCTCAGAGAGTTTTTGTAGCCCCAGCTTGGTAGGTATTTCCTGATTGGTCGCTGTGAGCACCATGGGTCACCGAGGGAGCCCACATACAAGTGTGGTCTTTCAGTAGCTGCGAACAGTGCTTGGTTTTCATCTCGCTTACATGTGGAGGCTTAGATGCAGCCAGACCTGCCGTGACTTAGGGTTGCTATGGCTATGTCCTTGTTACTTCTCATCTGTCGAAATGTTACACTCATTTTTCTCCTGCTACATGGTGAGTTTTATGGCTTTTGTTGTTTTTCTTGTGTGCTCTTTTCATTCCTGTTGTGCAATTTCATTTTCCATTGAATTTAGAGTTGACTAAAGTCGGTATAATATGTTTATAGCAGGCAATGTTTGAGAAAAATTGATATTTTTTGTCATTATGTCTGAGATTTTTTACTTGATATTCTCTGCAGAAGTTGATGGATTTCAGACCGAACCAAATCTCTGTGATTCAAGTTGTGCTGGTGAGAATCCAGTTTGTGCTTATGTTGAATACGATGCATGTTCACTGTTAAATAACATGTTTTTTCATTCAAGACAGTAAATTATTTGTACTACAATATTTGCCTTAGTGACACATTTCTTTTTTTGAATCTCATGGTTATTGTTTCTTGTCTGTAGGGTTTCCTACCCTTGACTTGGCCTATCAGAGAGGGGTGAGGTACACTTATAGATATAGCACGACAATTACCACAACCCTCCATGGCTCCAATGCTGGCAGGAATGGACTGGCGTTGGACTGTGTGGTTGATATTGACGTGGTTTCAAAGTGTCACCTAATGATGCAGGTCAGCTTTAATCAGCTTTAATTATGTTTTAAAGAAAAAAAAAAGTAGGCTACAGCAAAAAGTCAATGATCTATGCACATGCTTGTCCAACAGATTAGGAATCCACAGATAAAGCGTCTTTCCCCTCAAAAAGAACATTCTGTGCAACGTTTGAAGAGCTTGAGGTATTATTCTTTTGATTTCACACAATTTGATGTGTTTTTATAAAGTATAGGGAACGAATGAATGTTGGATTGAATGCATGTGCTTCTGTCTTTTCTCGGCCTGCCGCAATCAAAGTGTAAGTCCAGATCATTTTGGAATGCTACAACTGTTTTTCCTCTGAATGTGATACTCTGTTCAGACGCTCCACTTGTCTGTGTTCTCGGGTCTCGGAGGGGGGGCTCATCTGGTGTTTTTGTTTCCCAGGGAGTCACTGGAGAGAAAGCGCCTCAAGTTCTCCCTCCAGGAGGGAAAGGTCACGGCCCTCTGTCTCCAGGAGGGGGAGCAGGTGTGGGCCCTCAACATTAAAAGGGCTCTACTGAGCATGCTCCAGACCTCCCGCATGGCCTCCAAACAGGAATTGGAAAAGGAGGTGAGGGTTAATGAGGGCTATGTTCTATCTACATGCCCAATTTGCAAGATATATACACACACCGGCTCTTAAGTCTTTATCGTCTAGTCTGACAAATACCACCTCTACTCCTACTACAAACAATAACCACCATTAACACCATCTTGCCTATGGTGCATTCACGTGGTGATTATCTGACTTTTCTTAAACTCCTCTTTCTCAGACCGATGTGTACGGAACGTGCACCAGCAGGTATGAAAGGAGAGGACCTGTGCTGCTGAAGAGCAGAGATTTAAAAGAGTGCCATCAGTCCAGGCTGGCAAACTTCTGGCCCCATTCAGTCTCTTTAACTGAAGATACAGTGAGTTTACCTCTCTTCTGTGTTTGTTAAAAATGTGGTTACCACTGTGGACACAGAGTTTACATTCTATTCAATTAAAAAATGTACACATGGTAGTTGTGTTATATGCTGATTCCAATGTTATTCGACTTTTTAGGTCAAATTAATATATAAATGATTCCATATTTCTCCAGGGGAATTTTATAAGCAGCTGTGTAGAGCTTAGAAACATCAGTTAGATCATCATTTTAGCTAATAAAAAAAGTAATTAAACACAACATAGTTATTGTTGGACTTCGTCGCTGGATCTAAGTACTTCTAAAATGGTGGTATATGCTTCTAGATTCCTTTTTTCTACTCTCTGATGAGTTCAAGAGAAGTGGAAGTTGAAAGTCGGCAATGACGTTGGTTGTCACTTGTCTGCACCACAGAATAAGAGGATGTCCTTTTTAGCTAACTTTTAAAAAAAATCAATATTACATCAGTCATTTGGTTCGACAGTTGGTTTCGATTCATGCTTTTTTGATGGGAGGTTTATTGTCTTTTTTGCTAGTCAGTGCAGTCAGAGCTGCACTGTGTTCAGAGGCATGGATCTACAGTGATGGAGGAGGTCAACTGTACTGAAGCCGTTTCAATGGCAACGTGGTCCAGGGCTGCAGGGCTGGTGAAGACCCAAACAGTGTCTACCTTGCTCCTGCTCAGGGCCCAACCGGGCACTCTTTCGGGAGCAGGTCAGGAGTATTACCAACACCTTAGCAACTGTGCGGTTTTACAGACATGGACCCTAATGCTTGCTCTTCTCAATGCTCATGCAGATTCCTTACGTCTTGGCGTGCTAACTGACCTGCAGTTTGAGGATGAGGGGGCTGCAAGGCCAGGAAAAGCCAGAGCATCAACACCTCAGCAAGCCAGTCAAACTGTCAGGATGTTATGTAGCCTCACCTCAGACCCACAACTGGTAGGACTCAACAGGTTGCAGTCATCTTTAAACTGTATCTTTCTGTAAAGAACACATATTGTTTTCATCAAATTAATATAAATCCCTTATAAGTAGCTGTACCCTGCCAGACCACTGTTGGCTTGTTTGTGTTTGTATTTGTGGCTTGACTTCCCCTTGGGCTTTGCTGTGTATCATTTTAATGGGTCCCATACACAGGAGGCCAATCAAATCTAATCTGGCAACCTTCATTGTAGTCTATTTACATGGGATGTGTTTAAAAGAGGCCATCAGATCCACACACTCTGGGATTTATTACTGTGTTAGGATCAGGTGATTGATGTGTTGAAAAAGTGTGTTCACAGAAAAGGAATCATTTTGAAGAACTGGAGTGTAAATTTCACTTGTTTATGATGCATATAATGGAAGTCCATGTATGTGTTTGAATTTTCTCCCAAGGTATCACAAAAGTTCCTTCAACTGGCTTTCCAGCTGAGAGATCTGCCTCTTTCTCAACTCCAGACACTTTGGCAAGAAGCGTCTTTCAAGTGTCGCAATGACTGGTCAGTATCTCCCCAGTGTTTTATAATGGAGCATCTTATGTCTAGTCCTTCAGGTTTCCATCAATGTCTCTACATGATGGTTTAAGTTGGGCATTTACACACGTGTTACAATTAATAAAAAGTCTTGTACTACCAGTAAATTGGATTAAAGCCGATAGGACTCTTGTTCATGAGTTACAATTCTAAAACGCTCAGCCTCTGGCCAAGTCAACAAGCACAGAAATAACAGTCTGTGTGGGACAGTAGCCATCCTAATGAGAAACTACTCTGAGACACAGATGACGTACAGTAGAGCGTCCCCCTCTTAAGTCCTTAGCATCGCAGTATATCGCAAATACACCTTTATCATAGACGACGTTCTGACTTGTTAAACACAGGTGTAACTGATAACAAAATTAACAATGACCTCCTTTCAGTGAGGTGTGGCAGTACCTCATGTTGTGTACTATTGTGCATTGCATGACTCACTGGCCAAACTAAATGAGATCGAAATTAAATAACCACCTCATGTCAATCGGAAGCTACAGCTAGCAGTCGGTTAGCGTGGCATAAAGACTGGAAATGGAACATTTTTACAGCGCCACATTATAATGTGCGACACAGGTTACAGCAGATGTTCATATTGATGCTGATTAACTGCTTGGACAGGCAGCCTT